AGAGAGACACACAGTATCTTTGTTTATTAATTTATTTTTTTGTGTGGTGCTGAGGATTGAACCAGTGCCTCACACATGCTAGGCAACTACTCTGCCACTGAGCTATATATAGCCCCAGGCCTTACATTTTTTTCTTTATAAATTAACTGGTATTATGTTGTAGCAGTAGAAAATGGACTGACAGTGTGACCTCAGTTCCTTTTCATTGGCTATTTGAACCCTTAAAAAAGCCCTTGTGGGTATTAGGGAGCCATATACAAATTGGATACACAAATAGATGTCTGGGTGGCCACCTTCTTGGTGTGAGGTTGTCATTTCTGGGAAGCATATCCTTTACAGAATGCTTGTCAAATACAAGCTACTCTAGTTTGGATAGTCTCATTTGTATATGAACAACAGACATTCAACTCAAAACAGAACTAGTGAATTCCTTTTGAGGGTCAGTCACTGAGCTAGGCCTTGGAAATCCATCTGGTCAGAGGATCTTTAGAGAAAGATATAATCTTCCTTCCTATTTGCTCTGTCACTACTGTTGGGTGATGATCTTATTTATACTTAGAGTGAGCTATTTAGGGTTTCTTGGCTCAGTAAGAGAAAAATTAGGAAAAGTAAGGATAAGGAATAGAGGGTATGTAAGAGGAGGAAGGTGAAATGGCTTTAATAAAATTGTCAACACACAAAAACTCCACCTGTAGGACTGATAAACAAAGTAGCACATATACCTGGCTTCTTTCATTCGAGGAACATGGGCCTATTTAGGATCCACTATGAAATGTGTTAAGAAAAAAGTAATGATACTGTTATAAATCCCTCTCATTCTAAGGCTTAGCTTGATTTTGCCCCATGAGACCTTCTAGAGTGGGAATTAATTATTCATTATTTTCTCTCCTATTACAAGCTTTCTACCTACTTTTAGAAGAGACAGGTGAGTGGCCTCTTCTGGAGAGTTCGTGTGTGTATATGTATGACTGTTTTTTTTTTTCTTTCTGCAGCTGTATTATTTCCTAAACTGTCTCCTTGACTCAGAGTTCACAAATATTTTATCTCATTCTTGTTTTTGTAACAAGGATGCACTTTATGCTTTGACTATATCCCTTTTTGCTCTAAAACTGACACTTTTTTTCTTTTTCCCAAACTTCTTCTCCCTAATTGTCTTTTCCCTGACCTTCTCCTCCCTCATCTTCTTTTCCCTGAACTTCTCCTCCCTGCTGTCCTTCCTAATCTCTCCTCCCTAATATTGGAAAACGGGATTTCTCTGATTCACCTTTAAAAAAAAAAAAACCCTGCTCCCTTTAATGGGGAAGAATCACAGCCTCTGAGACAGGAGCCCCCTGTGTTTCTCCTTTGCTAGGAAAGAAATAAACCTTCTTTTTCCCCTTTTCTCAAAACCTTGCTTCATCATTGGATTGGCATCAGGGATGAGGACTAAACTTTCTGTAACATCTTCTCTCAGGTATATGCCAAGTTTCCTTGCTTTTCTTAAATCTATATTGTCAAATTGTCTAGTTTATTAGTGTTTATCACTTTGTTCTCAACATACGGCAAAGCAAAATTCAGGAGGAGATCTTAAATGCTAAGGTTACCAACAAGAGTTTACAACACCCCTTGAAACCTGGGGACGAGGTTCACTGTAGTCAGCATTGACATCATCTTTCAGTTGTCTCAGTGCTGAATAAATTATTCAAGCATCACAAAGATAATTAAAGGGAAAAAACCACCCAGTCGCACCCATTTATGCATCTATGCCAGTGTCTACTCCTTCACACAATTTGTCAGTACTTATTAGAGGTCAGAGGTGAAAAAGACAGATTAGAGCAATTAGTCCAGCCTTGTATGCAAAACCATTTTGTGCAGCCCTTTCTCCATAGTAATTTTAAGACAGAGGAAGAAAACACTTCACAATGCAGATCCGTTCATGGGGAGATTTATCATTAAAGGGAGATAACAAGTGTTACAAACCACAGGTAGCTACCAGAACTCAGCTTTTATGTATCTTGGTTGCCAACAGCTTTTACTACTTCAATGGATCTTGACGACAATAATTAGAATTCAAGGGGAGCAAAGTAACATGCAGAATCTTGCAAACATGTTTCTGAAAGCACATCAACTCTGGCCTAGCCAGCAGGGATGCCTGTTTCCCATCTCCTCTGCCCTGTGTTCCCAGGACCAGCAGCAGCACAGGGTGTCTGGAGATGAATTTCAGGATGTCATAATTCTGAGTTGTCTCAAGTGCTAACCAAAGACCAAAGCATTCAATAAAGTATATTTATCGAAATTTCCTCCAGAGGGAGGACCTACATCTGTGAAAAGAGTCTTTGGTGGGAAAAGTACCTGAATGTTTTCTACATTGTTTTTTCATTTCAGTTATCATGTGGCTACTCCTAGGAAGGCAAGTTGGAAATGTCAGATATTCTGCATTGCCTTCAGGTTAACCAAATCTCCTGTCGCTAGAGGATCATTCAAGGCCCTGGGCCAATACGCTTGACCAACAGTGCAACTCCTCCTGCAACTCATACCTTCTCTCACACTGAACTCCCAATAGGAATTATTACCCCTACTCTGCCCCACCTCCACTGTACTTCCCTGTGTCTTACAAGTCAAGGCAGATGCCAGCTATCCTCAAATCCTCCAGAAACCTGATTACTCCACTACTTTTCTAATTTTTTTAGCTTCAATTAAACGTTTTTTGCAGTAGCGAAGTTTGAACTCAGGGTCTCATGCATGCTAGGCAAGTGCTCTACCCTTGAGCTACACTCCCATCCCTCCTTCTCCATTTTTTTTTTTTTTTGGTACACTGGGTTGCTTAACCACTGAGCCACATCCCCAGACATTTTTTATATTTTATTTAGAGATAGGGTCTCCCTGAGTTGCTTAGGGCCTTGCTAAATCTCTGAGGCTGGCTTTGAACTCTTGATCCTCCTGCCTCAGCCTTGTGGGATGACAGCCATGAGCCACAGTGCCCAGCTCCTTCCCTATTTTTTTTTTTAATTTGTAGTTGTAGAAGGACAGCATGCCTTTATTTGTTTAGTTTTTTATGTGGTGCCAAGGATCAAACCCAGTGCTTCACACATGCTAGGCAAGTGCTCTGCCACTGAGCTACAGCTCTAGCTCCTCCTTCCCTATTTTTTTTTTTTGAGAGAGAGATTTATATTTATTTTTTAGTTTTTGGTGACACAACATTCTCATTTTATTTTTATGTGGTGCTGAGGATCGAACCCAGCACCCCGCGCATGCCAGGCGAGCGCGTTACTGCTTGAGCCACATCCCCAGCCCCTCCTTCCCTAATTTTTGATGCAGAATTTAAATAAGAAATCTCTTAACATTTAGCAATGCTTTTGATCACAGCAGTTATCACAATTGTAATTGCTGCCTTTTTGGATTGTGAGCCTCTGTAGGTAGAAGCCGAATCCACAGAGCTTAGTAATGCATGGGCACACAGTAAGTGTTTATAAACCTTTGAGTGACCTCAAAGGGCATATATCACTTTTAAATGCAACATGTTTTACACAGGTAAGAGCCCACATCTACACTGCACAGATCATATGCATACACAGAGGTATATAATGACCATTCAGATGAGCATGAGCATTATAGAATATTACCCAGACTCTTTTGTTGAAGTAGTATGTGTGTGTGTGTGTGTGTGTGTGTGTGCGCGCGTGTGTGCGCGCGCGCTGGTGGAGATTTAACCCAGCAAGGAAGGAGGTCTACCATTGAGCTACACCCCCACCCCCCAATCTTTTTTTAGTTCTTATTTTAAGACAAGGTCTCTCTAAGTTGTCCAGGCTGGCCTTGACTAGCCTTCCCATTCGCTGGGATTACAGGCCTGTGCCACCACCCTGCGAATGGGCTTTAATTGCTTGGGAATGAGCCCAATTCTATCCATTCTGTGAAGGCAGGCTGCTGCAGGGGAGGACGTGACATGCCCTGATTCTTCTGCAGGTAGAATTCTCAGGATTGAGGAAAGAGTACTTTATTCTAGAAAAAACCAAGAACGGGATCACAGAGGAGGCGATTTTCAACATGCCGACGGTGAAAAGTGAGCATTGAACAATTATTTTGCTTTCCCCTTTCACCACACTCTCCCAGGAGTACCAGCCCCAAAGAGACCTCTGAAGAGGAGGTTTCAGAATTCTGTGTCACCTCCCTGATACCCACTTGACGCCGAGACCATAGTGACTCTTAAGTAACCACCGTCCAAGCTTACCACACCTAGCTGGACACGTGCAGAGAGTTCAGAGCACCACGTCCAGGCTACGAAGAAGTTTCTTGCTTCTCGGCTACCAGCTCAGTGTACTTTGCACAGAGTAACCAGCATTTCTGACCCAAATCATAGCCCCAAGCTAAGAGGAGGAGCACCCATCACTGAGGCCTGGCGTTTCCTAACTAGTAAAATCAGAGGGCCGGCAACTCTTTAATTGACCCTAGATGTTGTTGATGTTTTTTTCTTCCTTTTTAAATCCAACATTTGTATCGGCTGTTATTCCTAGGGTGCAGAAGACCTTTGCTATGGTTATGGTTATGCATGCAGGCGTCCCAGAAAGGACACCGGGCGGGGCTGGGGCTGGGGGATGGGTCCTGGGGACTGGAATGAGCTGCCAAGAAGGGAGGGGAGTTCGGATAATGTCCTCAAAGACCATAGGATGGGCGATCGGTGGCCCTGGCTTGAGAAAGTGAGTATCCCATTTATTTGACCCGTAGCCCGGACTCCCTTTTAGATAAGCAACCCGGCAGCGATCCTCTCCTTGGCCCTCCCCCGCCGCTGGAAGGGAAAGGGGGTTATTTTCGTCGGATCCCGGCCAGGCTATCCAGGGGACTCGGGCTCCCCGGGGCCGCCGCCCAGCCAGCACCCACCGCGCACAGGATGCCGCCCGGCCCCTCGGCGCTCGGGCCCCGCCCCTGCGCGAACTTGACCGCACCCACTTCCCCCGGGCTGCGCCCCCGCCGCGGCCCGGGCTGACGTCACAAGGCACCCAGCCGCTGGCGCCCCGCGGCGAGCACCCCGCGCCCGGACTTGCCGCCGCCCGCCGCTCTCTCGTGCCGACAGCCAGGCGCGCGCGTCTCTGTCCCCGCCTGGTAGCACCGCTGAAGATGGCGAGCGCGGCGCCCCAGGAGAACGCCGAGGAAGGATGCCCGGCTCCGGCTGCCGGGGAGCTGGCACTACAGCGGCCGCCGCCCCAGGCTCCCCTGGAAGAGGAGGCGCAGGAGGAAGCCCCGGAGGAAGGCGCGGCGGCAGCCGGCGCGGGGCCGCAGGTGGAGGAGGCCTCGGGCCGGGTGCCCGCCGCGGTGACCTGGCTGCTCGGGGAGCCGGTGCTGTGGCTGGGCTGCTGCGCCGAAGAACTCCTGAGCTGGAAGAGGCCGCTGCGCAGCCTGCTCGGCTTCGTGGGTGCCAACTTGCTGTTCTGGTGAGAGCTCGGGCTGGGTAGGGGCGCCAAGGAGGGCAGGTGACCTTGGGGCGCCCGGGCAGGGAAGAGGGGGTGCCCAGGGCCGGGTGCGGGGCCGAAAGCCGTATACTGCGGTGGACTAAGTGTCAACCCTGCTTCACTTTCTCACCCAACCTTTCTCAAACAGGTAGATACTTCAACTTTCCTCAAAGACTCACTTGCCTGTACAGAGTTGTCACCCCCGTGTGTGCATCCAGGCTCAGAGGCGAGGTGGTCTGCAGTCCACACGCACCTGTACCTACAGATGTTCCCAGCACACTTGAAAACTTAGGCTTTCTGAAACTCACAGGTCTTGACCTGCTCTTCCATGCATGCAGGAGCAAAGGTGTTTGAACTTGTGTTCGTTCTTGCACGCCAGAGGCATATCTGGACCAGCTTAGGTACACTCTCAAGACTGCTGGCTTTATCAGCCACCAGGGATGGGCACTGAATGATTTGTTTTTCCTTCCCCTCGAGGGTTGGATTTACTGTCTTTGCTCCCTGGTGAGAAAATAGGAGGCAAACAAACAGGTGGATTATGCACATCACCCCCCACCCCCAAGGTGTGCCCAGTGTGGAAAACAGTCATATTTCCAGGTAAAGTCCCAAGAGAATACATGGGCATGTTCTTTTAATAGCCCTGAACAATGGATCTGTTTCTCCAAAAAGCCATCTTCACAGGTGAGAAGGGAAGTGTCTGACATGGAAGGCCCCTCTCATCTGTTACCTGTGTGACTGAGGGCAGAGAAAAGCTTTCTTTGCAAAGTGCAGAGTAAGCAGTTTTACTAACAAATACCTTGTTACAGGACATAGATTTCTTAACCTTAAATTGGGAAATAAATAAATGCACAATAGAGACATAGGCTGTCATTTTTCTAGATTAACTTGATCACTGTGAAGATTTTTCTGCAGATTCATGCTAGCCCTGGTTTTCTCTTAAAACAAGCTGTGTCTTGTCAGGGTTCCTGAGTCTTCTAGCCACTGGTGTTTCTCCAGTTTATTCCAGGTCTATTCTATCCTCTTACGAAGTTGCCTGAACCCTCAAATAAGGAGGATGTGCTGTATTGTGCTAGGCTGGACAGTGGCCAGTAGTCTTAGGGCTGTGTCTTACTCATTGCACCAAAAAACACCCAACATTTGAATTTTTTAAGATTTTCTTTCTTAATTAAAAAAAATATATTTATTTAAAAAAGTAACTAATACAGTTCCTCAGTTAAAAGTTCAATAAAAAAGTTTACTTTTTTATTTATTTAAAAAAGTAATCAATACAGTTCTACAGGTACAAAAGTGTAAGCATTTTGAAAGTGTCTTTCCCACGCTAGTCCCAGGCCTCCCATTTTCTTCCAGTGGCAACCAATGTTGCCAGTTTCCTGAATATCTTTGCAGATAAGTTCATATTTCAGCAAATACACAATTTTCTATGCAAATTATGGAATGTCATATGGGCTGCTACTCTTCTTTCATGGTGATCCCTTCCATTTTCTTTCTCAGATGCATAGAATTCTTTTGTTAAGTATGTCTCAAATATTTAATCTGTGTCCTATGGAGTCACTATGATAATTTCCAAGCTTTTGCAAATCCATTGTTAAAACTAATGGTCTTTTTCATACATCATTTTGCATGTGTACAAGTGTTTTTGAAGGTTAAATTTCCAGAAGTGAAGCTGCTGCTTCTGAGGGGTTGGGCACTTGTAATTTTAAAGGATCTCACCATATTGCATTTGCTGGGGTTTTACCAGTTTATACTCCTACCAGCCGTGTGCCTGTTTCTCTATACTCTTGCCAAGAATATTTTATGAAACTTTTTGATCTTGTAAATCTTACAGGTGGAAAAGGATATCCCAGCATGATTTTTAATTTGCATTTCTCTGAGATCAAATATTTATTTTATTATGTTCAGGAGCTACTATAATTATGTTTTGACTACATTATCTGTTTATAAATAACCTTCATCTATTTTTCAATTGGGCCATTTGTCTTTTTCTTATTGACTTTTAGAGCTCTATTAATATTAAAGACTGTAGCCTAATTTCTGTAACTATAAGTTATAAACATTTTTCTGTGATGTGTTCTTTTTGTTTGCAGTGCTGAAAATTGAGCCCAGGGCCTGGTGCATGCTAGGCAAGCCCTACCACTGAGCCGTATCCCAGCATTTATGAGGCATTATTTAATAACACCTATTGAAAATAATGGTTTTGACATAAAATAATTGAAAGGCATATTTGGTATTATGCAGTGATGTCTTCCATCTGTATATATATATTTTAAATAAAAACTGTTACAGAGGCAAACAATGGCCAGACATTCAACCTAGTTATAATCTTATTTGTTTTATTTCTTCTTCTATTTACAGTATCTGCATTCCAGGTGTGTATTTTCTTTGACAGAAAGATAACAATACTGCTCTTTAAATTCTTTTTTTTTTTTTTGTACCAGAGGTTGAACCCAGGGGTGCTTAAGCACTGTGCCATATCTGCATCCCCTGGCCCCTTTTTTAAAAAATTTTTAAATTTTGAGACAGGGTCTCTTTAAGTTGCTTAGGGCCTCACTAAGGTGCTAAAGCTGGCTTTGAACTTGAGATCCTCCTGCCTCAGCCTCCCAAGCTGCTGGGATTACAGGCACATACCACTGTGCCTGGCCTGCTCTTTAGATTCTGAAATATTTGTTGCTTTTGTGTCATAATTCACTGGAGTTTGATTTCATTAAAATTTTGAAGTTTCCCCTCCTTTATTTGCCCATCCAGGTTTAAAAGGCTATTCAGAGTCGAAAGATTTTTTAAATAGTGTATTTCTTATCAAATGATCTTAAATTGTATAATACTCAAACATTTTTTTCTCCTAGGAATTCTAAAGCTTGCATTTTCTGTGAGAATAGAAAAAAGATCAATGTTAGAAATATGAAGAACCCAAATCCTATCTTGATCAACAGTGATTTTTTTTCACCTTAATTGGTGTTGTTTCATTTTTGTGGAAATTAACTTTTTAAACATATAATTTTTGAATGATTTAGTGCCTGTGCCAGCAGTTACTGGAAGGACTTTCATCACCTACCCATTACCTGCAAGATTTTAGTGCCAAGCACTAGAAAGACAAAAACTGAGACATCACCATAACAAGAGGCTGTAACTCAAGTCAGCATGAAGCAAATGTGGTAGAAGCTTCTGGAAAGAACAGTTGTGGGGACTTTATAAGGAGATCTCTTCATGAGGAGATCATGCTTAAACCAGACCTTAATGGACAGTAATGGCTTGGGTCGACTTGGTTCATGGGCAATAGTGGTCCAGCCCTAAGGAATAAAACCAGGGGGAGAGCACCTTGAAGGTGTGCTGAGTATTTCAGCCATAGCACAAATAAATGGATGTGATGGCCACATGAGCTGGCAGAGAGCAGTGAGGGGACAAGGGACATGAGGCTGTCTAGGTGACAACAGGACATGTTGGGGGGACAGTGGTGCCTGAAAAGTTGTGCCGAGTTTTTGGATTTATTTTTGCAGTAGGTGATGGGGGCAATAAAAAATGCCTTGTAAAAGTATGGAAAATATTTTTTAAAATATATTTTTAGTCATCAATGGACCTTTATTTATAAATTTATTTTTATGAGGTACTGAGAATTGAACCCAGTGCCTCACACTTGCTAGGCAAGTGTTCTAATGCTGAGCCACAACCCCAGACTGGAAAATATTTTAATGACTAAGTAAATGGTTTGTTCATTTCTACCATGGATTGCTGTAGAAGAGTAAGATAGACAGTAACTGAAGGCAGCCACCGTGGGCAGATTTTACAAGGGTTATTTGGGGCAAAAGAAGCACAAAATAACATTAGCAGAATGATTCTTTTTTTTTTTTTTTTTGAGACCATGTTTCTCTATGTTGCCTAGGCTGACCTTAAACCTTAAACCCCTGGGCTCAGGCTGTCCTTCTGCCTCATCCTCCCAAGGAACTGCCTAGCTGGCACTGTAAGTGAGCACACACCACACCCAGCCAGATGATTCAGTTTAAAAGTTTAAAATGTCCAAAAAGTGCACAGAATTGATTAAGGATACATCCATAGGAGATAAAACCACCAAAATGATTGATCATTCTTGAACAGATACACACACACACACACACACACACATACACACTTATCTATGATATGTTTATGAAAAAGCCTAAAATATGAAAAAAAGCTAAAACATTGATATTCACTCACAGACCACACAGAGTGCCCATCTCAAAAATCAGGGTTTCCGCAACTGGAATAGATCCGGTGACAAAGAGTTCCTCAGTCCCAGGGCAGGCAGGGCCTCACCCGTTGCTGGGAATTGGTCCGTGGGAACTGGGAACTGGTCCCTATAGATTAGATTTGTCTTTCCTAAAGTCTCTGTAAGTGCTACCTTGCAGCCTTATGCTGTTTGTTCCCGGCTTCATTAATTCAGCCTAACATCTTGAGATTCACCCCCTTTGACTGCTCAGTAGTGTGCCACTTCAGGATTACAACACAATTTGTTTATTTGCAAGGTGGCTTTATTGACTATTTTTATTATTGAAGCTGTGGGGAAAGTTCAGGCATAGATCTTGGGGTGAAGGGTAGGTTTTTGGTAAGGGAGTGGTGAGCTCTAAGCCATGCCTTGTATGGTCATGTGATGATTGCCTCAGACTGGCAAGGAATGGAACAAAAGGTCCATCTTCTAAGGCTTCTTGCTGATCATGACTTTGAAATTTAAGGGCTTATGATTCAGCCACTCTTTGGGGGTACATTGCCTCTGTAGCCTAGAAAGCTACTGATGTGATGAAGTTTGAACTCACTAAATGCAGAGAAGCCTATGCATGGCCCTTTTCCCCAGCCCATCTGGCACTCATGACCATACTGCCTTCTATTTGCCTAACTGTTGGAAATGCAATGCACTGATTTGCCTGCTGTGACTACAAAGGGACACGCCTGGCACCTCTGGCTTTCGAAGATCTAGATTAGGCTGGACACTGCAGTGGGAACACCAATGGGAC